TAAGAAGGCAGAAGTGACATCTGGTTTACTCATCACTGTACCCCAGTCCTCAGTACGATGCCTGGCACTCAGTAGGTGCTCCACAAAGGGTGAATCGACATTTACAGTGAAGAAACAGGTTCAGAGAGGGAAGCAACTTTCCCCAAATTAGTGGAAGAATCTGGCTCGAGACTCAAATTGTCTGGCTCCGAAGCTGGTGCCCTCAGCCTCTCTGCTAGGTGTGTCCTTGCAGACGCAAGCCTGGGTGTCTAGATTCCAGTGAAGGCGCCTCCTGAGAGCCCATCCTACCCCCTCGCCTTGGTCTGGTGGGGTCTGGGCAGATGAGGTGGCAGGTGCCTATTGTATGAGGAAGAATCGGCGTTGACAGACAGGTGCAGGCACCTCCAGCCCCGCGTCAATGGGCAGTGCACGCCTGCCCGATGGCTAATGGGGGAGCCTGGGAGAAGCCATGACTCACGGCTGTGTTCCCTCTCCCAGCAGCCAGCCACATGATGACTCAGGTGCTTTCTTAGGCTCCACCTGGGGCTCAATAACAGACAGCAGTGGGGGGTGGGAGCAAGTGGAGGGTATGGGCAGCTGGGTACAGGCAAGTAGAAGGGCTCTTACAGCCAGAGCAGGGCTGTCTTTGTCTCCTCCCACCCCCGCCAAGTCTTCCTACCCCCAGTGAAGGACCCCTTTCCCTTCGGGGACACCTTCAGATGGACTCGCTGTTTGGTTCTTTCTTTCCCTCTGTCTGCCTGTCTGGGTCCTTGCAGCCCGTTCTCTCCTATTCCACTTACTCCTGAGATGTTGGGGCTGTGAGTCCAGGTGCAGCCTGGGCTGCAGAGGCAGTGTGGGTTCCATGCCCTGAGCTACGTGGGCTCCTTTTCTCATCCCTTCTTTGGAGAGTTCTCATGAAGAGTGTTGGAGGAGGGGCTCGGAGGGAAGACCTTGAGCTGTGAGAGGGCAGAAGAGTGAGCCATGTCACACGGCCTGGAAGAACTCATGCATCCAGGTTAGGGCTGTCAGTCTCCCCTGTCTCTGGCTCCATCTTGCCCAGTCTGGCTCCTTATGCCAGGCAGCACTTGGCAGAAGGTGATATCTAGTTGTAACTGAAATGAGACCTCACATCTGGACCATACGAGTTGTTCACTACAAGCATCTCTGTGCATTGGAAGAGCCAAATGTGGAGAAGATGGCCATATGTGGGGAGGAAGGGGGTGTGGGGAGGAGGCTGTACAGGGGTGGTGGTTGGGCATTTATCTAGGGACTCCCTCCTTGTCTCTGTGGCCCTCGACAACTTTCCATAAAGAGTGTCTCATGAGGAAACTAAGGCCAAGGGCCCAGTTGTAAAGAGGATAGGGCTGGCAGGTGATCAGTGAACCGTTGCCCTCTCCATGCCACTGTTCCAAAAGGGCCAGACCACAGACTACAGAGCAGAGGCCTTGGGAGCTGAAGTACAGGGACAGCCCAGATGTGAGAGAAAGGCCTATGTCCAGGTTAGGTCAAGAAGGAAAGGAATCTCTCAATCCAGGCAGAGAACCAGCCAGATAGGCCCCCCAATTCAGAGAGAGCTAGGTCTGGCAGACCCAGAGCAAAGGGGCTGTCCAGTCCTCCCCTTGTTGGCCCCTGGGAGAGGCCAGTTGTACAGTGATTCCCTTGAGCAGCTCATCACCTTCCCAGGTGGCTGGCCTGGAGTTCTGAGAGCCAGAGCCTTTTGCTCAAGGCCGAGTGAGGCTCAGAGCAAGGGTGGGTGCTAGGAAATTCAGGCTGTGGGTGAGTGAAGGGTGATGGGTTTGACGTCAGGGTTGAAAAAGGACTGTCTCTCAGGAGAGTCAATGGTCAGGGGTACCCCAGTTGGGAGCTTCTGATCAGTCAGGTGGATCTCAGCTGTCCTTAGGATCCTCCAAGCCAAATGCATTTGCAGAAAACAGAGAAGGGTCCTAGAAGTCCAGCTCTGCCAGCTCTTCACTCAGCTGCACATTCCAGCACCACTCATCCTCACCCCCATCCAGGTTAGGCACTCCGGACCAGGGATTTACATCCCAACCAGAGTGTTGGCATCTGCATGGGCTGGGGAAGGGGTCACTTCCTAGGCATCAAACTACATTGCAGAGCTTGGAAGGGGCCTGGGCAAAGGTTTAGGATCATTCAAGGGAGTAGAAAGGCCATTAACACATTTCCCACTAGCTTTGGTCTAAGAGTCTACCATGTGTTTGGCATTCACAAAATGCTTTCAATAGTCTTGGTACTACCTGTTTGACTTTTAATTTATCATGTTTTGGGCCACCCATTTAAATATTTATTTAATACATTTTTTTTTTTTGGAGAGATTTTTTTTTTTTTCGCTATAGGGCTCGTGCGCTCGCCAGACAGACAGAGAGAGACAGAGAGACAGAAAGCGAGAAATCACCCCCAGGGGGGGATGGTCACACCACAATCCCTTCTCCTCCATTCTCCTCTCGGGATCTTGGGCACGCACGCACACGCACCGGGCGTGAGATTTAAGCCACCGGGTCCAGGACGCGAACCGTGGTCGACTATGTGGGAGTCCAGCGACATAGCCATTACGCTAACTGCTGGTTCCCTTTAATACATTTTTTTAAAAGAGAGATTTTTGCTATAGGACTTGTGCTCTTGCTGGAGAGACAGAGAGAGACAAAAAGACAGAAAGTGAAAAATGACCCCCCAGAGTGGATGGCACACCACAGAATTTTGGGCACACACTCACACACGTCTGGTGTGAGTTTTAAGCTACCAGGTCCGGACCTTGAACCATGTTCGGCTACGTGGGAGTCCAGTGACATAAAGATTATGCCATCTACTGGTCCCTCTCTAATACATTTTGATAAGTTACCTCTCATTTCAACAAGTACATTTATAAAGGAAATCCTATATTACTACTAAAAATGAAAAAGAGAAGAAAAAGAAAAATGATAATCCCTAGCCAGAAATTGAAAAAAAAAAAAAGATATAAATAATACCTAACTTCCAACTACTGGGTGGTTGAAAAAGTCATGACATATTTTTCTATTTTGCTATACAAAAATGCATGACTTTCCTGACAACCCAATAGGTGTGGTTCTTCCTGAAGGCTCTGAGTGTAAGGCCAGATCTCAGCATGATGGCAAGTGTGGACAGGGCTGTGATGAGGCCGTAGGTCCAACTGAAATTTTCTCCTCAGTGAATTAGAAGATTGAAAAGGAAACACTTTTCTCACTAATAATTCAGCGTGATTTAATACAGTCTCTGTGCCTTACCCAAAAGCATCTCAAGAAACGCTGGTTCTTTATGAAGTCTAAATATCCTTTAGCCTCCGCCCAGAGCTCATTGCTTCTTCCAGGCCCTTCTCGACCATCCTGACCTCTCTCTTTCTACCTTTAGCTCTTGTTTGACTCTTAGGTTCTCTAGCTTGGAATGACCAGTTATTGGTTTCTCATCTCACACGTTTTGGGATCTTATTTGGATCAGACACAGTGCTGGGCATTGGACAAGTACAAGATGAGCAAGAGCAGGCTTAAAGAGCATCTGCGATTGACGAAAGGAGAGCCAAGGTGAGACAGTGTGAAACACTATAATGCAGTCAAGTGCATACCCAGAGTGTGAGAACACAGGCAGGCTTCACAGAGGAGTAGGCACATGGAGGGGTAGCCAAAGATGTGTAGGAGTTTTCTAAGAAGACAGAGAGGGACACTTCAGTTGGAGGGAGATGCAAGTCCTGTGCATTCTCTGAGTTATGAAGAGTGTTTGGGGAGCATTTATGACTTGGTAGGAAGTCTGGGGAACAGCAGGAAATGTGCAGGAATGGGAAGATTGGGGGTGGGCCTTGAGTGCCAGGAATGTGGACCTAATCTTGGGGATGAAGGGAAATGGTATAGTCAGAACTGAGTTAGAAAACTCATTCCAGCTGGGGTGTAGGTGGAGGCAGAGGGACCTGGGGGACACAGAGAGATTGCGGATGGCTATGGTCTGGGGAGGGCAGAGGTGAGAGGGAGTTGGGGTAGAAAATACTAATGCTTCTTGAGTGTTTCTCATGTCTCTGGCTAGGAGATGGGCAAACTATTAATACCATCATTTTACAGAGGAGGGAACTGAGGCACAGAATACTTCCCAAGGGACTTCCCAAAGTCATACAGCTAGTGAGCATGGAGCTGGAATCAAGCTCAGGCAGTCGTTATCACTCTCTTCTGGCCTTGGCCACCAGAATATGTGTCTGAGTTTCCATTGGGAGCAAGGGTAAGCCACACACTCCTGTATCCTCAGCTAGCGTTAGCATCACTTTATTTATTTGGTCCACTTTCTTTTCCCAGGTCTTCATGGGAACTCTGCACGCAGTTCTTGAGTGCTAGTGGACCTGTTGCTTTGTCCGTCTCTCTATCTTTTGACCCTGTTCCCATTAAATAGAGTTCCCAGAGCAAAGCCTCTGTCTCTCATCAGTCTTGAGGATCCTGAGAGCAAGGGCTGGTTTCTCATCAGATTGGGGCTCCCTGTGGGCAAGGGCTGTGACTTTCATGCTCTATAATAAGTCCTGGGTACCCTGGCCCCTGCTCATCCCATAGTGGGCACAAGATGGGAGCAATGAGGGTGTAGACAGCAAACCATCCCTGAGGAAGTGACTCCTCTGGGAGCTTCTTTTCCAGAGGGGCTAAGTCTCAGTTCTGTTGTCAGGGCTAGCTGGAGACCAAGTTCTAGGATCTAGGTCACCCCCTTGGCAGTAGAGCTGATTTATGGTGCCCCTGACAGACTAATATCACCAAATTACCCTACACAATGGAGAGAGGCTGGGCTGCCGCAGGGCAGTCACCAAAGGACGCTGAGCCTGGGGCAGCCTGGTTGCCTCCTGAATCCCAGACCTTCTTTGAATCTGTGGGGGAGGCTGGCACAGATCAAGGGCACACCCAGGTGTGCCACCTTCAGCTGGGGTATAAATAGGTGACCCTGGGGACAGCTCTGTATCTGGTACTCCAGAGCCAACAGCACTCTTACAACTGCTTCCTACTCCACGAGCTGCGGGCAGTGCCATGAGCTGCAGACAGTTTTCGTCGTCCTACTGGAGCCGCAGCAGCTGCGGGGGGGGGGGGGTCGGGGGGGGGGGGGG